CCCCTCCCCCCAAACTCCTAATCTGCTTTGAGTTTGGAAAAGCTTTAGCTTTGAAATAAAACAATGTTTTTTTTCGTTGTTGCTCCCTTTGGTTTTCGGCTTCCGGTTGGAAGCAGGAAGGGCTGAAACCCTCTGAAAAAGTCATTATTCCTGGCCTGGCTGGAGTAGGAAGTTATTAGTGTCACAGTAACACCTGGGAACCCCAATCAGGGATCAGAACCCCATTGTGCCAGGTGCTGTATACACAAGTAACAATGAGCAGAGTCCCTTGCATCAGAGAGTTCCCAGTCTCTGCAATGTACCCGCTTTCTCATGAGACCCTATTTCCATGAGATTTCAGAGTCAAGAAATCTGGGTTCCTGTCATTGGAACAAGCACCTGGAATCAGATTCTCAAGTCTAGCTGAGCGGGAGTGAAAGTTGTTTTAAGCCACCTTTCTGCTCCCCTTATCCTGGGAGCTGGCTTGACCCCACTATAACTGAGAGCAACCTCAGAACTATGCTGACAGAAATGGTTGCCTGGGGACAGTTGTACCAGCCAGGGATTGCTGGAACATAAGGCACCCGGGCCATGCCGTTTCTTGCCCCCAACCCACTCGGCTACATTGAGAGCAGGGGGATGTCTGAGGCTGTGTCTACACTACACACCACTGGCTGCAGCATGTAGCTACACACTGCAGTGAAAGGTAGGCCATGTCCACAGTGGTGTGTAGCTACACCCAGCAGTGAAAGGCTCTGGCGGGGGGAGGCAGCGGGAAAAAGCTCCATCAGCTCCCCGCTGCCGGAGCCTTTCCGTGTGGCAGTGGGACACTGCTAGAAAGAAGCTGTGTAGACAGAGGAGGTACTGCTTGGGCAGGTAGAGAGCCGTGCAGGGTTTATACCTCAAAGGTTCAGATGTGGGTTTACTCACCTGAGCAGTACTTCACTGTCGACACCTTTGTTAACCCCCATACTGGCGGGTGTGCAGGGTCTGTACTCTACACACCGCTGTAAGGAGTGCGCCGTGTAGACGTACCGTGAGAGAGGGGAGCGTAGAGCCAGGTACACCAGGTTGAACCAACCTGGCTTCCCTAACTTTCCCCTTAAGGCAGGTGCCTGGTTTTTCTGCTGCCGCGTTGAATATTCTGGCAAGTAACCAGCTTGGTAGAACCTTGCCGTCACGTTTGAGGGGGTTGTCCCGAGACCTGCTGCTCCAGAGAGCAGTCTGGTGGACGCGCGCCGGAGCGTGTGTGAAGATGCTGATCGATAAAACAAAACAGAAAACCCATTCAGTAAGCAAAGCCTCCAAACCTGGGGAAAGCAAAAGCACCTCCCCATCTCTCTGTGACCCTACATGACTGCACTGTCCCTGGGCTGCTATCCTGAGAGTCCCTAAAATAGAGACGTAGGCAGGTGACATCCAAATGCCTTTTGCTGAAAGCCAACTTGATTCCATCCCCCGCTCATTATACACAGTTTCCGCAAATTAGCTGGCTGAGAAATCCATTGCTCGCCATGGGTTTCTTTTCACCTGTCCAAACAAAGACACACTTGGCCAAATGGATGTTGGTTGCTGTCAGTCCCTGTTACAAGCCCATTGAATTCAGATAATAAGTGGGAGTGAATCTAATTAAACAGGAGCAACCTGTGTAGCATTCCATGTGTTTGTGTTTGTTTACGTCAGAGCTGCGGTGGGAAGCATCTACATGGTGGTGATAGCTCAGCTATTCAAAATCTCCATGGCATTGTAAGGCTATGAATGGAGTAGGCAGGAAACATTAGGAAGGAACTGATGGGATAAAGAGTGTATGTTAAATTAGACCAGTAGGGTGGCTGGTGGTAAGTAATGTCTGTCGGCCCAAGGTAATTATTTTTCCGTTACTCCTGCTGTTATTAGCAAAACACTTACGGGATCTTGTAGGTTTAAGACTGGAAGCTGATTGGGCTTGGAGTTCAGAAAAATGGTGGTGCTTGCACTGTGGGAATGCTGTGTACATCCCAGCTTGACTCATGGATAAATCCAAGTGCGTCAGGAGAGTTACTTGGCCAGGCTGTTG